GCATATTGCGATAGCGCCGGGAGTTCTTTTGTTCTTTTCCTAGCTGGGGTTTATTTTACACCATTCTTCTCATTTTCAAGTGCAATAACCACATCTAGATGCCCTTAACAAATATTCACTCTAATTGTTCGAGAATGCGATTGAATCACGGGGATTTCACGGATGGCACGTCTTAGCCTTTTTCCCCTAGTTATGCCTAGATTTTTGGCTCTAACACTTCCGTGGGCAACCCTTTTATTCATTCTCTTCAGTGAAAACGCTAATGATTTCCAGAACTTCAATGTAGACCCGATTTGCCTCGGCCTTGATGGTGTCATCGAGGCATTTCGGAAAGCTCAGTCAGTGATATCACCGACAAGGACGGCCAAATTTGCTCCAATTGTCTCGTATGCCATCAGGTCTGTTGATTTTTATCTGGAAGATCATCCCAATCCTCAAAAATGCTAAGATCCCCGTTCCGAGGCTCAGGGATGCATTATCCAAATCTCTGTTTTAGACCTAAAATCTGTTCCTCTTGCTCAGCACATTTGCATTTTGCGCGTTTGAGAATGATCCAATTCGAGTTTTTCAGGACGTCCCACCGCTCCGGTTTCCGGGGTCTGCATTACCATGTGCTGGTGATTTATACTCGTGGTACACCCACGGACATGAAGGTATGCTCAGCCGGCCCTGTGTCCTCCTAGAACTGAAGCAGCGCCATTTTTAAGGAATTGAGCAGCGCTATGTCAGCAGCTAACATCACCCAGAACTCGCACCGTCATCACATTCAATGTATCACCTACCTCTAACGTCATCGTAGGGCGGCCTCTGCCGCAGTTAATGACATGCCTACTCCGAGCAACCCTAGGCTTTTCCTTACTAGCTTGGCGTATCCCTGGTTATCTACATGGACGAGTATTTCTTGAAAGAACGAGGTACTGTACCTGAATCGGTGGTTTGGCGGCGATGTTGGCTGCATGCATGAATTCGGTCATCTGTTCAGGGATGGCCCGCAACGCCCTTTGAGCTATCCGGGCTCGAATTTCGGATTGCAAATCACTGCTCTCCACGATGTCGGCCAATGCGATAAACTGTAAACGGCATATTGATGGATTTTTGATGCTTATCCTGTGCCAGAAGTAACGAAGTCGAAACTGGGTTTG